TTTCATTAAATGAAAACAGTTTTGAAATAAAAGAAAGTTTATTTTTGATGAACGAATTTCGAGGTGAAAGATTGGAAAACAAGTTAAAAAATATCAGTCGATTTTGCCGACAGACGTATATCCTCATCCAATGTTCGATTATTTAAATGTATTTTGACTTCTATTATGATTATTCAAATTGTTGAGCCTCAATGGAATAGGTTCCGAATGAATGGATCAATATTAACAATTTCGTATCGGACCTAAGTAAATACGATATATATATTGCGACGTGCCAGGTTTCGAATATATATCGACTGCTTCCTTCACTTTTTATGAAATATGCGACCATTTTTAGAAAATGTTGAAATATGCGTGAGGTAGCAGATATCTTCGACCGAAGTCTTCTACTTTCATACTTCATCTAATACATATAAAAATATTGGTATGGGCAAAATTGCAAGAAAATCGAACATTTATATCCAATTTGATGCGAAATCATAAATTCTCATAAATTCTATATTCATCTCAGGTTTCTAGTTGAGAGAAATATTCCGATATAGCAAGTTGTAAAGAATCGCTGAATTATTTCTCAAGGTATACGAGATAAAAGTACTGCAAATTGTGACGCTTTGTGGGTGTGGTACCAGGAGGGGTTTATAGATATATGTTAGTATGTGTGAAATATGAAGAGAGTGGTTTTTGAAAATTTTGAACCCTTTGTGGGGAGGTACCAGAAGAAATGGTCCGATCTCTACCATCTTCATAACTGATCTTGTGTTGACGGAAATATTGAAATGTGACAAGTCTGAATAAAATCGGATGTTAATTTCGTTTTTTATGAGCTTCATGAATGCTCACAATTTTGACCCTTTTGGGGGGGAGGTACCAGTAGGTGTGGACCGATATATTCCATCCTCACATCACACCTTGGGTTAATAAAAATATTGTGATATGTGTAATTTGAAGAGAAGCGGACGTATATTTTGGATTTTATAATCGTTTTGGTTATTCAAAACTTTGGCCGTTTGTTGGGGAGGTACGAGAAGGAATGGTCTGATCTCTACCAGCTTTAGAAAAGATCTTGTGTTGACGGAAGAATTGAGATGTGCCAAGTCTGAATGAAATCGGATATTAATTTCGTGTTTTATGAGCTTCATGAATACTCAAAAATTTGACCCTTTGTGAGGCGGTACCAGAAGCAGTGGACCGATGTAATCCACTTTTACACCAGACCTGGGGTTAATACTGTGATGTGTGTAATTTAAAGACAGTCGGACGTTTACGTCACATTTTATAAGAGTTATAATAACTCAAAATGTTGACCCTTTGTGGGAGAGGTACTTGGTGGAGTGAACCGATATTGTCCATTTTCGCACCTGACCTAGCACTGATGCAAATATTAGGATTTACAAAATTGGAGCAAAATCGAATGATGCGTTCTCTTTCTGTGCAGCAAACTATTTTTTTTGAAAAGATCGACCTTTTGTGGGAGAGGTACCGAAGGAGTGGACCGATATTGCTTATCTCCGTCCAGGTCCACAAAGACCTAGGGTCTAAAACAGTTATTTCGATTATGCACGTTAGAAATTAAAGACACGTTTTGAACGTTTACATCGTAAAGTAATCTGAACACAGATGGGCAAGAACATCCCTATTCCAGATTTTTGTAAATTTTCATATCAGGATTCCTTGGAATTGGTTTGGTTTAAGGATATGTAGCTACACAAGAGTCGGCAACTGCATAACTCGGAGACCTTTGGTCCATTGTGCTGGTTCTCTAACATTCGTGTGGCGGCTTCCACAGAAGAAGTGCCGTCCATTGCCTTTAAGAGGTTGAGGACATCTGTGGACATCGGGTCTTCGTAGGTCATGTAAATTGAGGATATCAGTAGTGGTTTACCACTCCTCCATGCAGCCTTACGCAGGTGATGCCTCTTTTACTTGTCCTCATTTGTCGATGCGAATACCGTGTAGTTCTTGCGGGGACCCCAATTGTTGTGTAGTGTGGACCCCTGGACCAGGCGATATGCATAGTTGATGTCCAGAGGGTTAGCTTGAGTTCGGCAGCCGCGGCCTTGTGCTAATGCAGATTGATCTGCACCAAGCTCAGGCCAGACTTCTTGTTAACTACTCCTTGCTGTGTGGGAGGCAAAAGAACCACCCTGCTGTTTTTAGTGCAAGAATTCCGCACACGCCAATTTCCAGTCAATGCCATAATAGGAGGTAGAATCCACACAGAACTACCATTGCGCATGGGATTTCCGAGACAAGCATGACATCGACAAGCATGACCGTCCACAAAGAGATTCAGGTGCAGAAATTAGGAAATCTACAGATTTCTTATATTCGCAGCTAAGGATCCTGGCTCCATTATCCTGTATCACATGCTGAGCAGATTGATGATCCTGCTTCGGTTTTGAGTCACAAGGTTTCTGCAAAGCATTATTACTTTGATCTGATTTCGTCTTCCCAATAGTGTGCTTCCCGGACTGTTCTACCGTCTGCGTCGTCCCCATTTTCCTAGCCTTGGTGTGCTGCTCCTCACAGACACTGTTTGAGAGAGGGATTTCATCGTCTTCGATGATACTTCCTTCAGCGAGATTGGCAACTCAGCAGACAAGATATCTTAATGCCGTAACCTTCTCGGTAGTTGTCTATACCCTATCCACCTGTTGTTTCCCCACCGTGTTGTAAGGTGTTGCATTCATAAATAAACTTATGGGCTCGACAGAGTCGGGCAGGCTTCGATTTGCTCTTCTTCCGCGCAGCCACGTTAGATGTCTACGATTTCGTAGGTTTAACATCAGCCTCGACTTCCTTCTTTGAATTGGAGGGTGGTACCTCCGACTCTGGCAGTTTTTTTTTAATTTTGTGGGAAGTTGTGGCAGAAATCTTCAAAATAGCAAAAATCGGGGGGTATCGGCACAAGGGTTTATATTTTATGCAGGCTAATTGGTACTGAAAATGGGTTATATTGGTCCACGGTTGGGTATATACACCATTTAACAATACTTCCCGATTTTGGCTATTTTGAAGATTTCTGCTACAACTTCGTAATAAATAGATTAAACTTCATAATTGGAGTTCTCGGTAGGTCTGTTTTCTCCTTGCAAAAAATGTTCGATTCAGGTCCAATTGGTATGACCCCATGTAACAGTACCTCCAGGTTTTGAGGGTTTATGCCACATTTTCCAATCAAATTAGCCTAAACTTCACAATTGGGGTTCTCGGTGGATCTGTTCTCTGTTGGCAAAAACATGTCCGATTCAGGTCCACTAATTGGTGTAGCCCCGGTGTTTTGAAGGTTTCTGTCACAATTGCCAACCAGCTCACCTGAAATTTGACATTTGGGGTTCTTGAAAGGTCTATTCTCACTTTGCAAAAATGTTCGATTCAGGTCCACAACCCTCCCTTTTTCAACAGATTTATCCCAAATTTGGTATTTGGATTTCGAAATAGGCGTCAACTTCTCTGGCAGATAATTGGCTGTAGAGGTCAAATGTTTTGTGTAGGCCCCATATAACTGTACCTTTAGATATTCGGAATTTTTAACAATTTTCTTTTTTTTAATTTTTCTTCCAACTGATGGAGGGTATTAAAAGTTTGGCCCGGGCGAATTTAGCTAATATTTTCTTGTTATCTCGCATCTCTTTTGATTCCTTATATTCTAGGTATATAGGGTCTTCGTCAATATTGCCAGTAACAATACGAAGATTATTTTCTTCGAAAATTTTCCCAAAGCGAGCAAAGGTTCTTTTGGGCCCTTTTTTCAAAATTAGGTTAAAAACTCCTTTTAAACGGATCGTAACAATTCAAAATTGTTTGAAATATTTTGGAACATATAGTAGAATTATAAGTAATATTGCCGAGGACTCGATCCTAAAATGCATTGATTCTAAGTAATCTTAATCAGAAAATTTTTAAAAAAAAAGTGGGGGTGGAAAAATCTTGATCTTAAATTTATTTTTGAATGTAAACATTCAAAATGCCGACAAACGGGACTTCCATTTTTAGCTAGTTTCTGAATCTACTGAATTTTTCCTGTAATTATTGAAAGAAAGTAATTTTGTAACACAGTCATATTACTCGACGACAATCAAAATGACAGGCTTCTGCCCAGTCCTAAACTCTAACCCATGCGATTTACTAAAAATTTTGGGCTCATCTTTAAAAAAAAATATGCTTCTATTCCGACCCAAGCACTGACCACGTGTTAATTTCGCGAGGATTGTAGTTGTGATCTGTAGAGTGATTAAAATTTATCTTGGACAGAAAAGTGGGCAGAAACACATAGCTAGATCGACTCTGCTCGGAGAGATAGGAAGATAGATACGCTTCATTTTAGGTCTGGGGACAATATATAAAGTGTTTGACCCATTTACACTTATTAAAAAATATCCACCTATGGAAGGAAATTTTTCATTAAGAATGGGTAAACTGCCAAGAGACAAACATTTCATCAAATGTCTTAAATCTAATTTGACAATAGGATCAACTTTTCTCATAGAAGAGAATTATACTGCATCGAAATTAAAATCAGCCTGCTTTACACAAAGCTCTTGCGATTCAACTCTTTGGTTAGTTTGCTAGTAATAACTTTTCAAACAGAAGCTAAAACTTTTGTATCAGTGTTAGTAGAACAATAAAAATGAACAAAAGCAACAATGGATAACAATGGCTTTGTTGTTAGTGGTTGCTACTGCTGCTGTTGTTTGGTTAGTGTATGGGTTAGTCGTCGTCATTTTTACAGTTTAAAGCTGTTTGCGGAACTTGGGTCTATCAAAAGCAAAAACAGAAGAAGAAGATGTAGACCAAGTTAACAATAATAAAACTAGCCAAGTAACAAAAGACAGAAACATAGGAAAGGAGAAAAACTCTGCAAACTTTTGTTCAGCTTTTTGATAGAAAGAAAAAGAAGGACCAACAAAACACAAAACCGGAAAAGAAGTTGTTTGCAGAGCTGTTGCATTCATGGTTTGAGATTTTCCACTATCGTTGTTGTTGTTACTAGTTCTGACCTTAAGGACATGTTCATAATTAAGGTTCCGGTAAGTTTTTGCATACGCTTTTTCTGTTGTAATTGTTGATGTTGTTTTAATATGGGACTACAAAAAGAAAGACATAAAAAAATTGTTGGAGAGAAAAAAAGTATGATTAAAAAAAATTAAGACACACACAAAATATTTATGAACAAAAATCAAAATTGTAATCGAACAAAAAGCAATGTATTTGCCACCAAATGATTTGAATATGGGACTATGATCAGAATAATGAACCAAAATAAGACCAGGGTTATATGATTATATTATGAGAATGAGGCAGAAAAAGCGTAAAACTAGCGAGTGGATGAATTTAGTCAAATGGTTGGATATTCATCATTATATCTTAAATATCACTAGAATCCTTTACCATAATTTAACATATCGATAACTTTGTTTAGCGCTAATTTACTTCCCATGCTCTAAAAAATAAAACTTTTATCTCTCCCTCAATAGAAAAATATAACACACGGAGAAAATATATTCCACTTTCACCGTTACCAACAGTCAGAGCGTCTGTTTGAAACAATACCGGCTGACATCTGACAAAACATAACCATGACAAAAAAAAAAAAAAATAGAAGTGGTCCGAACGGTCATTCCAGTTTCAACAGCGAGTTTGGGAGCCTACCAGGCCTGACGTGATGGATCCATCAATTTAAAATCTGAGAAAGCTGAGTTGCTGCTTCTAAAGAAAACGATGGACGAAAAAGGTGCTGCCTACAGAAGAACGGTAAACTAAAGTAGTCGGAAAGTAAAAATTATGGATGTTGACTGAAAAAAAAAAAAAAATACCTCGCTGAAACCGAAGCAAGTTATGGGAGCCATATTGAAATCTAAACTGATTTTATAGAGGCATTTTTATAACAGGGACAGTCCTGGCTTCAATGAATTGTATTTTTCCACACACAATTAGAACCATAGTAAAAAATTAGGAGGACATGAAAATATGACTCTCCGTACGCCTCTTTTTTAGGGAGTACACGACGTCTCGTACATAATATCATTTATATCGAGAATTTAAATTGGATGAAAAAAATACATGCTCTCTTTGGATAAAATTCATATCGTTTCGTCTTGCTGATGCGCATGATAACTCTCGAAGGGTATCCAATATTATTATCATCGATCGAGTTCGGAGATGGTCCACTTTTCCTGGTACCTCACCTCCTCCACAAAATGTCAAAATTTTCAAAGGAAATAATTTACCTTACTTTAAGTGAAAGGATAATCCGATTTTGTGCGAAATTAACATCCGATTCCGTCCAGACTTGGCACTACTCAATATTTCTATCTGTTATAAAGACGGTTGGTGACCAAAGGGACAAAGGTTTGAATAACCAATAAAATCCGAAAAAAGCATCCGGTTCTCTTCATATTTCACACATCCCATTATTTCTACTAACACAAGATCAGCTGTGAAGATGGGATATATCAGTCCACTCCTTCTAGTACCTCCCCCACAAACGGCCAACATTTTCAATATCCATGAAGATCATATAACCCCAAATTAAAATCGGATTCCATTCAGACTTGGCACATCTGAATATTTCCTTCATTACAAGATCTGTTATAAAGATAGTACAGATAGGGCCATTTCTTCTGGCACCTTCCCCACACAGGGTTCAAGATTTTGAAAAAGAAAACGCGAAAAGCATCCAAATCTCTTCAAATTTCAAATAACACAAGATCTGTTGGGAAGATGATATATATCTGCGAACACCTTCTGGTACCTCCCCCACAAAGGGTAAACCTTTTTTTATACTTTTATCTGTCATAACAAGTCAGCGATTTTGTACAGCTTGTTATATCGAAATAATTCTCTCAACCAGAAACATGAGATGAAGTTGGGAATTATGATTTCGCATAGAATTGGATATAAACGGACGGACCGACAAACAGACGTACACATATATACATATATACTTTATTGGTCCTGACATAAGTATTTCGAGGAGTTACAAACGGAAGGACAAATTTAATATACCCTCCATAGCATTGTGGAGGGTATAACAAAGAAATAATTCGGTCGACTATAGCTGGTACCTTACGCACATTGTAACATTTTCTAAGAAGTATTACATATCTCATGTAAAGTGAAGGATGTAGTCTATTTAGTCCAAATCTGGCACGTCGCAATAATTATATCATAATAATTTGAGTTCGATACGAATTCGTATCGACGTGCCAGATTTGGAATCGGACCATTCATTCGGAACCTACCCCATAGAGGGTCAACAATTTGAATAATCATAACAGAAGTCTGAACATATTTAAATAATCGAACATTGGCTGTGGATATACATCTCTCGGCTTCAAAAAATTTTTTTAAAATATCCTCGAACCTTGGAAGAGGCTTCAAAAATTTGTCAAAAAGGCCTTGAGCTTTGGAAGTGTCTTCAATTTTTTTTATAAAATCGACGAATTTTAGGAGAGACTTCAAAAATTATTTAAAAAATTCACGAGCCTTGAGAGATGCTTCAAAAATTCGTTAAAAAATACTCGAGCCTTGCAAGTGTCTTCATTTTTTTTTATAAAATCGACGAATTTTGGAAGAGGCTTCAAAAATTCTTCAAAAAAATTTACAAGCCTTGGGAGAGGCTTCAAAAATTCTTCAAAAAAAAATCACGAGCCTTGGGAGAGGCTTTAAAAATTCATTAAAAACTCCTCGAGCCTTGCAAGTGTCTTCAATTTTTTTTTATAAAATCGACGAATTTTAGGAGAGACTTCAAAAATTATTTAAAAAATTCACGAGCCTTGGGAGAGGCTTCAAAAATTCGTTAAAAAATACTCGAGCCTTGCAAGTGTCTTCATTTTTTTTTTTATAAAATCGACGAATTTTGGAAAAGTCTTCAAAAATTCTTAAAAAAATCCACGAGCCTTGGGAGAGGCTTCAAATATTCTTAAAAAAAATCCACGAGCCTTGGGAGAGGCTTCAAAAATGCTTTAAAAAATCCACGAGCCTTGAGAGAGGCTTCAAAAATTCTTTAAAAATTCACGAGCCTTGGGAGTAGCTTAAAAAATTCTTTATAAAATCCACGAGCCTTAGGATTGGCTTCAAAAATTCTTTAAAAATCCACGAGCCTTGGGAAAGGCTCAAAAAAAAAACTTTATAAAATCCACGAGTATTAGGGAAGCTTCAAAATTCTTTAAAAACACGAGATTTGGAATGGCTTCAAAAATTCTTTAAAAAACCCACGAGTCTTGGGAGTGGCTTCAAAAATTTTTAAAACAAATTCACGAGCCTTAGGAGAGGCTTCAAAAATTCTTTGTAAAATCCACGAGCCTTGGGATTGCTTCAAAATTTCTCTAACAATCCATGAGCCATAGAAGGAAGTGACTTCAAAATGATTTTAAAAAATCCTCGAACCTTAGGAGAATCTTCAAAAATTCTTTGTAAAATCCACGAGCCTTGGGAGTGGCTTCAAAATTTCTTCAAAAAATCCACGAGTTTTGGGAGAAGCTTCAAAAATTCTTTGTTAAATCCACAAGCCTTGGGAGTGGCTCCAAAAAGTCTTCAAAATAATAATCTTTTTCAAATGGGGAAGAAAAAATTTCATAATATATAACTTTAAATTCTTTTTTCTCGAATATTCGGAACTCTTTCAGTTAATGAGCGATATGTACTTTGTGTACTTCCAACGAATATTTCGATGGTGGGGGATATGCAAATACCTTGACTGACATTTGAATCTCCTCTACCTAAGGCTCAAATAATTGCCAACTCATCAGTTCATTCTATCGATTTATGCTTCTGAGTGTTCAATGAAATAACTGATTCCTACTAAATACTTATCTGATTAGCAGCAGCCTACCAAAAAAATAATGTGGTATTATTACCACATAACCAAATCAGAAAAGCTATTTAGTACCGCAAATATCCATCAATGTCAATTCAATGACATATTCCGTTTTCAATTGAGTTATAAAACATTTAATTTTCGTCGTCAATGTCCTCGCCATGGTAGATGGAGGTTAGTTGGAATGCCAAATCTGTTAAATGGTGGCGGGGTTGTAATGCCAGCCACTCGCAAAATGTTAAAACTAAAGAAACGCAAAGCCATGATGACGATGATGGCAAGCATACCAAAATAAACACACACACCCACTCACCCACACACCACGGGTATGTAACGTTGGTATATATGTGTGTGTTTTCGTGGTTGGTTACAGGTTGAAAAACAAAATATTTGCATTTAAAAATTACAAATATTGCATATGCATGACAGAGAGGTATTGATAGTAGGAATAATAGAGAATAGGGGAAAGCTTGAAGTGGAATAGAGGAGAGTCAGAGATAGAGAGAGTAGGGGGAGAACAAAGGCGGAAAAGTAAATGACAAAAGCTTTAGCGGCAGTTAACAATGTTGTTGTGTGGATGTTGGGGAATGTAGTGCAAAATATTCCGACCCCAACTTACAACATTAAGCCCCAACACACTGGCAGCATATACACACATTCTCACAACCCCATATAAAGTTGCACATACCCACAACACACACACACCCACACACATGTTCACATTTAAATGCAGCAGCCCAACAGCAACAACATAATGAATGTTTGATGCACAAATCCATTAGATTTGAGGTAAATTAAAGTTTTACAACTAAAGTATGGAAATGGTTACATAGATAGATACCGCATGAAATGGAAAAGTAAGATAACGATTTATAAATAGATAGAGATAGAGAGAGAGCGGGAGGCAGAGAACGAAAGAACGAATGGGGGGAAAACGGGGGAAGAAGCAAGAGAAAAAAAAAAACAACAACAAACGCCAGGCAAGGCAATCAACATCGAATACTTACATGTCACTTGGTAATGTTTCAGGACTAGATGAACGTTCATTGCTCCATGGCGAACTGGATGTTGTCATGCCTGAAAGAAAGAGAAAGGAGGGGAAATAAATTACTAGAACTATATACATTGACAATATAAATTTACGTCAATTACAAATTTTACAACAAAGTAATTAATTTTCAAATTTCTCATTTAAGATTTTATGTCGAAAGGTCATATTGAGACATTTGAAACAATTTTATTTTAGACTGAGTTTAAAAAAATATAACACGAAAATCATTTTAGGTTAATTAAAAATGTATTATCCTTGTTAAAGATTCTTTAAAAAATCCACGAGCCTTGGAGGTGGCTTAAAAATTATTTAAAACATCCATGAGCCTTGTGGGTGGCTTAAATTTTTTTTAAAAAATCCACAAGCGTTATATGAGGCTTAAAAAAAGCCTTGGAGGTGGCTTAAAGAATTATTTAAAAAATCCACAAGCCTTATATGAGGCTTAAAAAATTATTTAAAAAATCCACGAGCCTTATACAAGACTTAAAGAATTATTTAAAAATCCACGAGCCTTATATAAGGCTTAAAAAATTATTTAAAAAATCCACGAGCCTTATAAGAGCTTAAAGAATTATTTAAAAAATCCACGAGCCTTATATAAGGCTTAAAAAATTATTTAAAAAATCCACGAGCCTTATATGAGGCTTAAAAAATTATTTAAAAAATCCACGAGCCTTATATGAGGCTTAAAGAATTATTTAAAAAATCCACAAGCCTTATATGAGGCTTAAAAAATTATTTAAAAAATCCACGAGCCTTATACAAGACTTAAAGAATTATTTAAAAAATCCACGATCCTTATATAAGACTTAAAAAATTATTTAAAAAATCCACGAGCCTTATACGAGGCTTAAAAAAATTATTTAAAAAATCCACGAGCCTTATACGAGGCTTAAAAAAATTATTTAAAAAATCCACGAGCCTTATATGAGGCTTAAAAAAATATTTAAAAAATCCACGAGCCTTATATGAGGCTTAAAAATATATTTGAAAAATCCACGAGCCTTATATGAGGCTGAAAAAAACTATTTAAAAAATCCCCGAGCCTTATATGAGGCTTAAAAAAATTATTTAAAAAATCCACGAGCCTTATATAAGGCTTAAAAAATTATTTAAAAAATCCACGAGCCTTATATAATGCTTAAAAAATTATTTAAAAAATCCACGAACCTTATATTCGGCTTAAAAAATTATTTAAAAAATCCACGAGCCTTATATGAGGCTTAAAAAATTATTTAAAAAATCCACGAGCCTTATATGAGGCTTAAAAAATTATTTAAAAAATCCACGAGCCTTATATGAGGCTTAAAAAATTATTTAAAAAATCCACGAGCCTTATATGAGGCTTAAAAAATTATTTAAAAATCCACGAGCCTTATATGAGGCTTAAAAAATTATTTAAAAAATACACGAGCCTTATATGAGGCTTAAAAAATTATTTAAAAAATCCACGAGCCTTATATGAGGCTTAAAAAAATATTTAAAAAATCCACGAGCCTTATATGAGGCTTAAAAAACCACAAGCCTTATATAATGCTTGAAAATTCTTTAAAAAAATCCACGAGCCTTATATAATGCTTAAAAAATTATTAAAAATCCACGAGCCTTATATAATGCTTAAAAAATTATTAAAAATCCACGAGCCTTATATAATGCTTAAAAAAATTATTAAAAATCCACGAGCCTTATATAATGCTTAAAAAAATTATTAAAAATCCACGAGCCTTATATAATGCTTAAAAAAATTATTAAAAATCCACGAGCCTTATATAATGCTTAAAAAAATTATTAAAAATCCACGAGCCATATATAATGCTTTTTTTTAATCCACAAGCCTTATATAATGCTTAAAAAATTCTTTAAAAATCCACGAGCCTTATATGAGGCTTAAAAAATTATTTAAAAAATCCACGAGCCTTATAGATGGCTTAAACAATTATTTAAAAAATCCACGAGCCTTATATGAGGCTTAAAAAATTCTTTAAAACATCTACGAGCCTTATATGAGGCTTAAAAAATTAGTTAAAAATCCACGAGCCTTATATGAGGCTTAAAAAATTCTTTAAAACATCTACGAGCCTTATATGAGGCTTAAAAAATTAGTTAAAAAATCCACGAGCCTTATATGAGGCTTAAAAAATTCTTTAAAACACCTACGAGCCTTATATGAGGCTTAAAAAATTCTTTAAAACATCTACGAGCCTTATATGAGGCTTATAAAATTATTTAAAAAATCCACGAGCCTTATATGAGGCTTAACAAATTATTTAAAAAACCACGAGCCTTATATGAGGCTTAAAAAATTATTTAAAAAATCCACGAGCCTTGTGGATGGCTTAAACAATTATTTAAAAAATCCACGAGCCTTATATGAGGCTTAAAAAATTATTTAAAAAATCTACGAGCCTTATCTGAGGCTTAAAAAATTATTTAAAAAATCCACGAGCCTTATATGAGGCTTAAAAAATTATTTAAAAAATCCACGAGCCTTATATGAGGCTTAAAAAATTATTTGAAAAATCCAAGAGCCTTATATGAGGCTTAAAAAAATTATTTAAAAAATCTTCGAGCCTTGTGGCTTAAAAAATTATTTAAAAAATCTTCGAGCCTTGTGGCTTAAAAAATTATTTAAAAAATCCACGAGCCTTGTGGGTGGCTTAAAAAAATCTTTGAAACAACCACGATTGTTTTTTAAGGGTTTAAAAATTCTTTAAAAAAATCCACGTGGGTAGTAGATGGCTTAAATATTATTTAAAAAAATTCTGAGGTCTCCTAGAAGGCTCCAAATTTTTGTTTAAAAATCCATAAGCCTTATACGAGGCTTAAAAAATTATTTTAAAAAAATCAGTGTCGAACACACCCAATGTCTCATCAGATATTCACTGTGAGAGTAACTACTTTTTGCTAACTTTTCCATGTTTATTTTTTTTTCCATTTCACTCAAGTAAAAATATCAAACATGTTCTGGCTGATGTTAATTTTCAAACTGATGCTGTTGCGGCAACTTGTTGTCGTGTTGTTGTTGCTACTGTTGTTGTTTTTTAATACCAATCAACAAAGTATGAGGAAAATCCATTAGGGACATATTTAACCATTCATCTGTATCATCATCAGCATCTACACTCGAGCATATCGAACGAAGACTAAACATAACGGGCGCATTGAATACAGGGGGAAAGCTGACAACCGCTACGACGAACATAAAACAAAGTTGTTCGTTGATGTTGTTCTGTCATCGATATCATCGCCATCAGGAGCAGCTGCTGGCTGCAGCAGCAGTGGCGACCACGAGAACAAGGAAAGTTTTTGGAAATCAACTAACCATTATCCATATAAAGGATGTGTGTGTGTTTGTATGGGTATGGATAATATATACATGTATGAAAAGTGAGTAATCTTTGTTGAGTGATTGGAAATTAACGAAAAAATAATTAGCTTGCCGGATAACGTGTTGATTTAAGAGCCTCTGGGATTTGGGAATATCTAATTTATTCGATATTCTCCTTCAAGGGGAAACTTTTGGTTAGTTGTTGGATTAGATCAACAATTGTTATATTGTGGGAATCTAAATTGGATTTTGATGAGCAATATTTTGGTAGTCGTATTTTCATAGTTAATATTGAGTTTTTTTCTTTTATGAATCAGTAAATTTTTCAAAAAAAAAAAAAAAAAAAGTTGGTATAAATTTGCCTCAATCCTTACAAGCCCCATTACTTTTACCTTCGTCAACAATGTCCTTATTGTTATTAGTTACCAGCTTATCACTTAAAACCAAATATTACATATCACTACAACATTTTTCACCAAATATGTACAGGGTGATATGAAAAAACTACAACCAACTTCAGACTGCTGTCATTTCTAAGCCACTCGTCCGACAGTTGCTAAAATTATTCCAGAGGCAGTTCATTATATTGTTTACAAGCCTACAAAAGCATTTTGGTGAGAGTATTCCAGAAAAACAGTTATTCGTGAGGGAATTCAAGCGTGATAGTATTATTTCTTTATAATTGGCTGGAAAACCACAAGTGGCTATCGTTAGCAGCACTCCAGCATTTAAATGTGAATAAATCTTTTGTGTCTCGTACTATCGCTCGTTACCGTGATACTGGTAGCGTAGCCTGACGTCAAGGAAGTGGACGGAAGAAAACAGCAACAACAGCAGAAATGGTTCCAAAAGTAAAGAAGCGACTTGATCGAAACCCGCGTCGCAGTGGCCGAAAAATGGCTAGTGAGCTGAACATATCGCAATATTCCAAAAAATTGCAAAAATTGAAAAATGAGCTCGGGGTAAAACCATTGAAATTTTAAAATGTACAAGAACTTACACCGCAACATGAAGAAAATAGACTCAAAAAAGCTAAAGAGATGATTCGCTTGGCCGAAAGTGGTGAACTGTCGAATTTGGTTTTCTTCGATGAGAAAACATTCGTTGTCCAGAAGTTTGTAAACAAACAAAAGACCGTGTTTACTTGCCAAGGAGGTCAGCTGAAAATGTGCACCCTCGGTTGGCCACCAGAACTCAAGCGCCGGCCATGGTGATGGGGTGCGGGGGCATAACCACCGATGGTCGCTCTCCGCTCGTATTAATCGACCGTGGCATCAGAATAAATGTCGAATATTATAGCGAAAATATTCTGGAGGTTGTATTAAAGCCTATCGTTAGAGCACTCCAGCACGCAAACATTTCGGCCGCAGACCTTGAGTGGCCACCTAAATCTACGGATATCAATCCGTTGGACTATTTTTGTCTGGAGTATTTTGGAAAGCAAGGTTGTCTTTAAAAAATACCAAACTCTCGATCACCTCAAGCAAGCGTTTCGCCTGAAATGGGCAAAAATACCGCAGAGCAACATTCGGGCAGCGTGTGACGGTTTTATTGGCCATTTGAAGACCATAATTCATGCCAAAGGTGACCAATTCGAACAAATCTAAACTTATTCTAAAATTTGATTTTTTTCCGACATTTTTTGCTTTCATTCAATAAAATGTAAAAATTATGGCGATTGACTTTGTTGAAGTGTCTCACCCTGTATATATGTGTGTAACATATCCTCGTATTAGTGTGTATGGGTTGGATGGTCGCACACTTACCTGTTTTCAAAGTATGGTTTTGTGGTGATATACCATTCGGCCTTGATGTCATTTTGCTGGCAATACGTTGTGGTACACTGGCAACAGTCTATGGCAGCGATGTTGGATGTTAGTCATTTAACAACAGCATCAGTAACATTTTCTCGCAGCAGGCGAGATGTGAAGTGGGACACAGGAACGGGATAGAACGAACATCATTTGTAACGTTTATTGTAATTGAAATCAGCATCGAGTTATGTCATCATCATCATCATCGTTGTCGTCACCATTATAGACATTAAATTTTTGTTGATTCATTGAAGAGGCAGGTGGTAGAGGGAGAAATATTGTCAACATCACGATGGCGGGCAAAGTGGAAAAGAAAAAGAGAATAGAAAAAAAATCAAGTTAAAATTAATTCAAAAAACGTTTCCGTATTCGGTCTGTTGTTCTTAATTTTTTCATTAGTTCTAATTATAAAACATGGCGAAAAAATGTTCAAAACATTCATTAATGGGGCGGTAACATTTTTAGGAGTTCCCTGCCTGTAACAAAACAGGGTCATACGATAAGCAATAAAGAAATGGCAATAGTAAAGCCGGGTCGACCATATGATATTCTACACTATTCGTCATTTTTTAATTAAAAAATAAAATTATATTATAGAAGGCTTAAACAATTATTTAAAAATCCACGAGCCTTATAGAAGGCTTAAACAATTATTTAAAAATCCACGAGCCTTATAGAAGGCTTAAACAATTATTTAAAAATCCACGAGCCCTATATGAGGCTTAAAAAATTATTTAAAAAATCCACGAGCCCTATATGAGGCTTAAAAAATTATTTAAAAAATCCACGAGCCCTATATGAGGCTTAAAAAATTATTTAAAAAATCCACGAGCCCTATATGAGGCTTAAAAAATTATTTAAAAAATCCACGAGCCCTATATGAGGCTTAAAAAATTATTTAAAAAATCCACGAGCCCTATATGAGGCTTAAAAAATTATTTAAAAAATCCACGAGCCCTATATGAGGCTTAAAAAATTATTTAAAAAATCCACGAGCCCTATATGAGGCTTAAAAAATTATTTAAAAAATCCACGAGCCCTATATGAGGCTTAAAAAATTATTTAAAAAATCCACGAGCCCTATATGAGGCTTAAAAAATTATTTAAAAAATCCACGAGCCCTATATGAGGCTTAAAAAATTATTTAAAAAATCCACGAGCCCTATATGAGGCTTAAAAATTATTTAAAAAATCCACGAGCCCTATATGAGGCTTAAAAAATTATTTAAAAAATCCACGAGCCCTATATGAGGCTTAAAAAATTATTTAAAAAATCCACGAACCTTATATGAGGTTTAAAAAATCATTTAAAAAATCCACGAGCCTTATATGAGGTTTAAAAAATTATTTAAAAAATCCACGAGCCTTATATGAGGTTTAAAAAATTATTTAAAAAATCCACGAGCCTTATATGAGGTTTAAAAAATTATTTAAAAAATCCACGAGCCTTATATGAGGTTTAAAAAATTATTTAAAAAATCCACGAGCCTTATATGAGGTTTAAAAAATTATTTAAAAAATCCACGAGCCTTATATGAGGTTTAAAAAATTATTTAAAAAATCCACGAGCCTTATATGAGGTTTAAAAAATTATTTAAAAATCCACGAGCCTTATATGAGGTTTAAAAAATTATTTAAAAAATCCACGAGCCTTATATGAGGTTTAAAAAATTATTTAAAAAATCCACGAGCCTTAAATGAGGTTTAAAAAATTATTTAAAAAATCCACGAGCCTTATATGAGGTTTAAAAAATTATTTAAAAAATCCACGAGCCTTATATGAGGTTTAAAAAATTATTTAAAAAATCCACGAGCCTTGTGGTTGGTTTAAAAAATTATTTAAAAAATCCACGAGCCTTATATGAGGTTTAAAAAATTATTTAAAAAATCCACGAGCCTTGTGGTTGTTTTAAAAAATTATTTAAAAAATCCACGAGCCTTATATGAGGTTTAAAAAATTATTTAAAAAATCCACGAGCCTTATATGAGGTTTAAAAAATTATTTAAAAAATCCACGAGCCTTATATGAGGTTTAAAAAATTATTTAAAAAATCCACGAGCCTTATATGAGGTTTAAAAAATTATTTAAAAAATCCACGAGCCTATATGAGGTTTAAAAAATTATTTAAAAAATCCACGAGCCTTATATGAGGTTTAAAAAATTATTTAAAAAATCCACGAGCCTTACATGAGGTTTAAAAAATTATTTAAAAAATCCACGAGCCTTATATGAGGTTTAAAAAATTATTTAAAAAATCCACGAGCCTTATATGAGGTTTAAAATTTTTTTAAAAAAATCCACGAGCCTTGTGGATGGCTTAAAAATTATTTAAAAAATCCACGAGCCTTGGAGGTGGCTTAAAAATTATTTAAAAAATCCACGAGCCTTGGAGGTGGCTTAAAAATTATTTAAAAAATCCACGAGGTTTGTGGATGGCTTAAAAAATTATTTAAAAAATCCACGAGCCTGGAAAAATTATTTTAAAAATCCGCGAGTCTTATAGAAATCTTAAAAATTAATTAAAAAATCCATGAATCTTATGGAAGACTCGAAATTTATTTAAAAATTTCACGAGTCTTATAGAAATCTTAAAAATTAATTAAAAAATCCACGAATCTTATGGAAGACTCGAAATTTATTTAAAAATTCCACGAGGCTTAAATAAGTCTTAAAAAATTATTTTAAAAATCCACGAGGCTTAAATAAGTCTTAAAAATTATTTTAAAAATCCACGAGCCTTAAATAAGTCTAAAAAAATTATTTAAAAAATCCACGAGCCTTACAAAAAGTTTAAAAAATTATTTTAAAAATCCACGAGCCTTACAAAATGTTTAAAAAATAATTTTAAAAATCCACTAGCCTTGTGGATAGCTTAAAATTATTTTAAAAAAATCCACGAATCTTATGGAAGACTCAAAATTTCTTTAAAAATTCCACGAGGCTTAAATAAGTCTTAAAAAAGATTTTAAAAAGCTACGAGCCTTAAATTTCTTTCTTTTTAAAAATTGCTCGAGGCGAGAGTCCTTGCGCTATTGACTAATTTTTAAAGACAACCTCACTTAACACTTACCTCCTCATCACCATCCCAATTGTAGTAGAATTGTTGATTTGGATTCATGTATTTTTTGAGCAATTCTTTGGCCACCCGCACCGACATCTCACCCTGAACGAACGGATGCTGCAGGAGTCTTTCGGCTGTGGGACGTTTTTTAGGGTTCTTGGTTAAAGCTGTTTTTACAAAATTATGAAATGTAGGACTCCATTTCTCTTTATTGCTGAGAGTTGGAGGTTTGAAACCACTTTTTGACATCAGGAACAAAGCACGCATTGGATGTAAATCGAACATGGGTGGTTGTAGTTCAGCCAATTCTGCAAAAATTGAGCACAAAAGAGATTTACAATAAAAAAAATATAAATTATTTATAAGGACCACAAAAAAAGTAATTCTTATAGAAGGCAAAGAAATTCCAAGAAAGAAATTATGTTTTTCTTTTGACATATTTTATGAGACCTTTGGGAATTGATTGTTAAAACCACAATATTTGACACATTTAGTGGTTTTCTTCGAAAAGAAAATAAAAATCCAATCGCCTACTAACCGAACCAACGACGAACATTCACATAATTGGCCAATTGTTCAATTTAACCTTTATGAAGCTAATGAATAAATTCATGGAATTGGCATCATAATTTCTCCTTCTGTCATTTTCATTTTATTTAGGAGCGACTTTTTTCTAGAGGGTGGTATATGCCATAAAAATCCATGGACTTTTTAGGACTAATAACAATTTTATTCTACAGCAGCTTCTTTATCATCATCATCGTTATCAAAGGCAAAGTCATTTTCCTTGGGCAAAGCTCACTTTTAATGATGCTGGCGATGATGTTTGTGGTGGTTGGTGGTGCTACTGGTTTTTGGTAGTGGTGTTGTTGATGTTACCAACGGTTGATGTGGCTTTTCTCTTAAATAGGCCACAATTGTCATACTAATAATTGGCAGTTGAATCCTCAAATTTATCAATTAAGCCACTATTGATACGAGACGTCGAAAAAGGGGTATTTTTCGGAAATTGTAGCGAGAAATCCAACTAGCTGCTTTTTTGAATATTTGTACCAAAATAGTACTAAAAAGTACAATATATTATACTTTTAGAGCCAGAACTCTGAATTTTTATATTTAGGCATGTCTGATGAAGCAAACATATAAAGAAGATTTTAAGTGGGCGGTGAGTCGGATTTTTTTAGAAATTTGTACTAAAAAGTAATATTGTGTTGATGGAAATATTGAGATGTACCAAGTCTGAATGGAATCGGATGTTAATTTCGAGTTTTATGAGCTTCATGGGTATTTTAAAAATTTTGACCCTTTGTGAGGGAGGTACCAGTATCTTCTCCAGACCTTGGGTGAATAAAAATATTGTGATGTATGTAATTTGAAGATAATCGAACTCTTGTATAACATTTTATAAAATTTATAATTATTCAAAATTTTGACCATTAATGGGGAATGTATTTGATGGAGTGGACCGATATTGTCCATTTTCGCACCTGACGTAGCACTGCAAATATTAGGATTGCATCACGACGTAGCACTGATCAAAACCGGATCATCCTTTCTTTTTCTGTGCAATAAAATATTTTCTTTGAAAATTTCGATATTTTTTGTGGGAGGTACAAGATGGAGTGGACCGATATTGCCCATCTCCGAACTCGATCTGAGTTTGACAAAAATATTGCGATGTACCAAGTTTGGGCCAAATCGGATACTCCCTTCGAGAGTTATCGTGGACACCGCTAGATCGACTTCAAATGTTCTGAAACGGATTTGGTTCAAAGAGACCTAGGGTCCAAAATCGTTATTTCGATGAGGAAATATATCAAATTATATATTCCTTCTGTAGACATATGGCTGAGGGTATAAAAAAGAATCATAAAAGCGTGGTGGTGGTGATCAGCAAGATGCCACCACGACCTTTGATATAAAGCCTCGTTTTTCTGTCTAAGAAGACTTTTTGGGAGTTTTCTGACTTCAAAACACCTTTTTAGAGATTATCTGCCCCCCCCCCCCAATTACCATGGGAAGCTCTTCTGGCGTATGTAGACTTATCAAAGAACCGCTCTCAGAAGATTTTTTGGGGTCTTTCTCTCCCCCGTAGACTCTTTGATGACCTCCTGTATTCCATAAGACCTTAAGAACTCCTCAAAGGTGAAATTCATGAAACTTTTGAAGACGTACGACGGCCACGTCTGAAGACTATTTGGAAGTTTTCTGGCTTCAGACTTTAGGATGCTCACCTGCCGTAAGAAAAATGTTCAAAGGACTTCCGTCTTCAGAAGACTTTTTAGGGCCTTTCTCTCCCCAAAATACTCTTTGATGGCCTCCTTCAATCCAGAAGACCATTTGGAATTCCCTCTGTCTTTAGAAGATCTTTATATATCCTCTTCTAGGTTATATGTCCTCAGGGCAAATTTTGAGGATCTTCTGCCTTTAGAAGAACGTTTGAAGATTATCTGTATTCAAAAGATCTTTTAGAATCAATATCTTCGCAGGATAGAATTTAAAAGTCCTTTTTGAGGTCTGTTTCTGTCCTCGAAAGGCCTTTCAAAAACCCAATCCTTTAAAAATTTATTTGGAATACTCCGTCTTAAAAGACGGATAGAAGGTATGTTTCTATCCTCGAAAGAATCTTGTTCTCAGAAGGTTTTTGGAAGGTCGCTTGTATTCAGAAGAAAATTTATGGCTCTCATGTTTCCAGAGAATCGATAGGAAACTATTTTAATTTGAATACCAAAAAACCTCTCCGTGGAAAGCCCTTTATGTTGCACTGTAAATTTTATTTTAGCATTTGGGCCTCAAAAACAAATTTTAACGAAATGGTTGCAGTTTAGGCTGTAAAAGAATTTTTTCCAGCAAAAATTTAAAATTGACCTTATTTTTAATTTGAATTACAAGAATCCCTTTGCGAATATTTATTTTAAAATAGATACCAGATAGTATTTTCACAGTTTGGAAGGTAGGGATGGTCTTAGTCCCATTTTTTAACCGCTTTGCTATAATTTATTTTTTTCCCCAGGTGTTGGGTATAAAATATTAAATGTCGTGTTTCTTCCCATTATTTAAAATTATATGATTCCCTTTAAAAATTCTTCTTTAATAACCCAGTCATATTTTTATTAAAAATTAAATAAAATTCCTCTTATATTTATTCGAAAAAAAAACTCCAATGCGGCCATAAATAATGCAATCATTCTAATTTATGTGAATGTTTGTGGTCAACTGAACATAAATCTCATTCAATATACTTGGCGATTAAGGCGAACAAACGAACAAACAACGACACTAGGCCACTTACCTATTGCTGTAATACCACAGGCCCAAATATCACATAATTGATTGTAGCCGCCCTTGCGCTCCACGGCAGCCACTTCCGGTGCCATCCAGTAGGGTGTACCTGAAATTACAAGCAAAACAGACGGAGAGAAACCATAAATTATTAAAAGTCCAGCTAAACACAAAAATGCAATGTTTAGAATGGGGGGAGGAGGAGGGTATGGGATGGCAAGGAAGGAAGTTAGAGGTAAATTGGCATAATGAAATACAACTGAAAATACATGAAATTATAAAACAATTAAAATTAATTAAATCTGTTGTGGCGGCTGGGAAGCCAATAAAATATACGGACACACACACAACTGTCGGTGGTGGCGGCAGCAGCAGTTGAAACTGCCTAGCTCCAAGCTCTTGGCTTAATTATGACAAAGGCAACGCAATGAGCAGCAACAAACACCTGGATGCAGGGATGACACGAACACACACACATGTTACCCAGGAAATGTGTGCGTGTATATAGGTAATTATGCACACAGTTTGACCCGTGTTTATTTTATGTTAATGTATGCAAGGTACTGAATACTCTCGGTTCTTCACCCCGCTCTCTCAGCCTGCACTCATTTGCAATCACCGGCAAATTGTCCTTGCAAATAAAAACCAAAAAGCCCCAAAACAGCAACGGAAAATTTGTTCATTTCCATTTTAACTTTCATTTAATTAGCACCACTGCAGTTTATTTTGTGTGCGTGTGTGTGGTGGTAGTAGTGGTAATGGCAGTGTTGGTAATGACGGTGAATGTGTTTGTAATAATTAATTTATGTGGGTACAAATGTGCGTGCATGCGTGTGTGTTCAATTTATGTGTTACTTTACCATATATTTGTACAAATTGTAAATTTTGATGTATGGTGTCGTGGTGGATGTGTATGTGAGAGTGTGCGTTAATTAAATCATTTTCCAAATGTAAATTCATGCATATTTTATGATTGTTGTGTTGCGTATCACAAACACATGCATATTTACATAGATGTGCTTTTTTTAATGTAGCAACTCATTTTTAGTCTAGGTCTACAGAGTTGAGTAGAGCTGTTTTGTTTTAATTTAGTTCTTGGGCTAGACATTTTTATAGCTTCAGCCTCACGGATACAGAGGAGGTATATCATTTGATACTGCCGAAATGTGGCTCATCGAAATATAGGTTTTAGAGTCTGGATCTTCAGCAGATTGTGAAATTTTATGTTCTACATAGCAAAGTAAAACATTACATATTTTTTTAGATTTTTGGATTCAGATTAATTGGATTTTTAGAATTGGAAATATTACTGATAACCAGTAAAGAAAGTCTTAAAGTCGGGCGGGGCCGACTTTATGATACCCTACACCACTTTGCACTAATTTAGTAGAGCTCCGCCTAACAATTAAAAGTTCATACACGCTATGATTATAACTTAAAGTTCAATAGACTGAATATGCCGAAGCATTTGTATCTTTTAAATTCGGACTTGTATTACCCATTTGGTGCACAATTTATTTGAAATCGGATAAAGATATATATGGGAGCTATATCCAAATCGAAACCGATCTCGATAAAATTTGGCAAAGATATTTCTGAGCTGTATTTGATATATTTCCCTGAATGTCGTCGTTACGGAGTGCATATTACAGCTGTGGGTAACAAATATTACAAATCGGATGAAGAGTATATATGGGAGATATAGCTATATCTGAACCGATCTTCACCAAATTTGACATACTAGCTTCTAGACTCAATTCGGTCGTAAGTGCCAAAGTCCATCCCATTTGGACACATATTATTATGATGATGAAATTAAATTAAACTGCAAATAGGACCAAAACATTAAATTTACTTTAAAAACGAGGAATATTTATTCATAGGGTATTAAAAAGAGGTGGTTCGACATAACCAATAATTTTTGAAATTATCCAAAGCTCTCCATAAATTTCCAAGCTACATTTTAAATGTAGCGCAATTGATCGGGCAAATGTTTTTGTTTTTTTTTTTAATCGAGTGTAGCTTCGTTTCCAGAAAAGCTTCGTTTAATATTATATGGCTATAAAAAATCCTTAAATCCAAAAATGTCGGAAATAGCATCAAATTTTAGAATAAGTTTAGATTTGTTCGAATTGGCCACCTTTGGCACGAATTATGGCCTTCAAACGGCTCTGCGGTATTTTGGCCCATTCTCGGCGAAGAGCTTGAGATGGTCGACACTTTGGTATTTGTTAGTGCCAACCTTACTTTCCAAAATTCTCCAGACACAATTGGTATCCGGATTGGTATCCGGAGATTTTGGTGACCACTGTGTGCTGGAAATGAAGCGAGGAACCTCATTTTGTAACCATTCTTGGGTGACGCGTGCTGAGTGCGATGGTGCTGAGTCCTGTTGGAATGTCCAAGGCCTGCGGCCAAAATGTTTGCGCGCCCAGGGCTTTAAAACACCCTCAAGAATATTTTCGGAATAATATTCGGCATATATTCTAATGCCACGGTCGATTAATACGAGCGGAGAGCGACCATCGGCTGTTATGGCGGCCCACACCATCACCATGGCCGCCGCTTGAGTTCTGCTGGCCAACCGAAAGTGCACATTTTCAGCTGACCTCTTTGGCAAGTAAACACGATCATTTTGTCTGTTTACAAACTGCTGGGCAACGAATGTTTTCTCATCGGAGAAAACCAAATTCGGCAGTTCACCACTTTCGGCTAAGCGAAGCAACTCTTCTTCAGCCCTTTTGAGTCTATTTTCTTTCTGTTGCGCTGTAAGTTCTTTCACTTTTTTGTAATTTCAATGGTTTAACCCGAGCTCATTTTTCAATATTTGCCCGATGGAATATTGCGACATGTTCAGCTCACGAGCCATTTTTCGGCTCGCTTCTTTACTTTTGGAAGCTGTTCTGCTGATGTTGCTTTTTTCTTCCGTCCACTTTCTTGAAGTCGGGCTACGCTATAACGAGCGATGGTACGAGACACAAAAGATTTATTCACATTTAAGTGCTGGAGTGCTCTAACGATAGCCAGTTGTGGTTTTAAAGCCAAATATAAAGAAATCACACTATCAAGCTTGAATTCCACCAGGAATAACTTTTTTCTGGAAAATTCTCACTAAAATGCTCTTGTACGCTTGTAAAAAATATAATGAGCTGTCACTGGAATAATTTTAACAGCTGCCGGACGAGTGGCTTAGAAATGACAGCAGTCTGAAGTTGGTCGCCCTGTATATTCAAGAAACCCTTTTTATGTGACATATTATGAAGTTTTTCCCAAGGTAAGCCTCTTTAAAAAATCTTGTTGAAACCCCTTCTCCTTTTTAATAAATTTGTTTACTTATGATTTCTTACTAATTTGCTAAGCATTTAAGTGAAAAATGGCCGATTGTTATTCATTCAATTGTGGCATTCACTACGCAGCAATCATAAATGCAAGCACACCAGTGCGTATGAGCAATTTTCCCTCTATTACGGCTGAATAAAGAATCACTCATACGCACTGAAGGCCCTTGCATTTAAGGTTTCATGGCAAACTCAATAAAGCACCCTCAAATGTTGATGTACTAAAAGTGTTTTAAGCCGGCTCGTTTATTGCAAACGACAACGACAACAATAAAGTACAATAAAGCCTTATTATTTCCTCCTTAAATCAGCCTACTTTAGTGCGAATCGTTGTTAAGACTTATTTGGTAGCTTGAACAATTGTGTGTGTAAATGACCTTTCTATTGAAACACATAAATATACACATTTTCTTATTCCACAAATATGAATTGGAATTGATGTCTTGCGTTAAGTGAAATGTAAAGACTGGAGTATTGGAATTATTATACGCTTATCAACGACATGTAGAGACTCATGAGTGTGGCTTAAGAATGAAACATTGCTAATTGATTTTTAAGTAGAATATACATATGTGTAAATTGGAAATAAAGATGAAAAAGAAAATGGAATTAATAAATAAGCGATGAAATCTCATTTTGGCGATTCACATAATGATAAATAGAAGTATCATGGGAGAGTTTCATCGTAGCCAATCAGAAATAGTCGAATATTAGCATTTTAAATCCTTTGTGGTCTAAAATGTTGATATTATCATAAATAATATATCATCGGCAGCAGGGACATAGGATAAATAAGAATACAAAATATATAGACAATTTATAATTTTTTTTTCAAACAATTTAATAAACTGAAACGAAATCAAGGAGAACAATTTTTATTTAAAGAAGTCCGAAATTTATTACAGCATTGCAGCGGAACAAGAGTATCCTGCAGTTTAAAACAAAATTTCTTCGAAGGCTGACTTTAATAACTTAAAATGATAAACTACATCTAATTCAGTCAAAAATCTGTTAAACTATTTCGAATACCTAAAATTACGTTGTTCTGTAATGTAGGAGGCAATACTAAGACGATGACCTTTGAAGTCTAACTTTGCAAATTTAAAAATCAAATAAATATGGAGCTTATCTAAACTATGCATTTTTCTTACCAATTCCTCAAAGTGTATTTCATTAATATATCTTTTATCTAATCGGACCTGCTTTTCATTGTAATTAGAGTTATGTAATTAACACATTCGAAAAGGGGACCAGCAACTACTAAGGTGGCAGGAAAGCTGAATGATTTATTTTTTATGTATTATAAATTATTCGCAGATTGTAGGTTATTGATTATTTCTCAAAATTTCCCGGAGCAAATGTGGTTCCTCTACTCATTACTAAGTAAAAGGAAACCATGCTACAGAGTGTGCGTTTCCGAATATAGCAGACCCGAGGATTGTTGGTTCGATAATTAGCGTTGCAAAACGACCAAAATATGCAAACAAAACAATAAGCGGTGTTTTGTGTTTTACTTCCACATAAGTAAAAATGTATCAATCGGTTCTGCAGACAGACTAGTACCCTCAGCCATTATTCGATTATTCCATATTCATCTCAGGTTTCTGGTTGAGGGAAATATTTAGATATGGCAAGTTGTAAAGAATCGCTGACTTGTTTCGCAAGTTATGACAGATAAAAGTATTTAAAATTGTGATTCTTTGTGGATGTTCTCCTACCAGAAGGGGTTCGCAGATATATACCATCTTCACAACAGATATTGTATTGCCAA